GGAAATTTTTTTAATATTCTTTCCAACTCTTGTCATATTCAACTCAAAATTCAATTATGTCCAAAGCATTCTGAAATTTTTACAATTTTTTATTCAATAGGTGTGTGGATCACCCATTTTGTATTTGGTCATTGACTTGCATTGAAAAATAAATAAATTTCACGAAACTATATCTTGCATTTTCGTAGAGCGAAAACAGGCTATTTAAAATTAGTATAAAAATTTATTACTTGGAAGTGGCTTAACATGTATTTTTAACATTACTTAAAATATTTAAACTTTTCTGAAGAATTGGCATGTATAATATTTAATTTTTATTATATATACACATACATAGAATATACAAAACATTAATACAATATTCTAACGGTTTACGGCAGTCTATTCTTCAATTACTTTACATAATCTGCTTTCATTTCAATATTATGACGATTTTGTGTCGAAATAAACACAATCAGATCCTAAACACACATGTACATATAAACGAACTGGAAGCAAAATTAATATTTTCGACGATTGTGTAATTTTTGAAGTATGTAGATAAATAGAAAATTGAAATGTGTAAAGACACCGGCTTAAATGTATACATACATACATATGTATATTTAAACTTAGAGTACTGAAAACAAGTATATTCTATGAATAAAAAAACTAACTAGAAGTAACAAAAAGCACAAATTTGTTGGCAAAAAACAGTTAAAGAAATGTAAATAAATACATATAATATAAATAAAGATATTTTTTTAGATTTAATTGTTCCGTATGAATATTTATTATTAAAATAGGTTCATTATCCTATTAGGAAAGCATATATTGCGTTAAAAACTTTATTTGTTATAAAAAAAAACATGAAATATGCAATTTAAAACATGAAAACACAAATATTTAAAAAAATGTCAAATAAAATATTATACTTCAAATGCAATTACCTAAAAGAGAAAGCATAACGTCACGCAGATCTGCGCATGTGTGCCGGCGTGGTGGCATTTTTTACATTTAATATGGTCGCCAATATTATAAACAATACTGCATCTACGTAAAATATATATACATATGTATATATATATTCAAATTGAGCTAAACAATAATTTATGTATAATATATATAATTTAACTTTGCTTTTTATTTACTATTTATAAAAATTAATGAAAAATTATATAATTATAGTTAAAAAGTAAACTTAAGAGCAAAATTTTACACTTAAAACTTTTAAATCAAGCAAAATAAATTTAATATTGAAACTAATTTAAGCAAGTAAAAAGAATATAATAGAATATAGAAGAAGAGCATTGCAATGAAGAACTTAGAGCGAAATTGTAATGATATTTAATAGCTTTTAATAAATTTTGTAAACAAATAGTTTACAGAAAAACTTACAAAAATTGTAAAACGCAAATTGGCGCGGCGGCAACGTCAAGAGAGCACGTGGTCTTTAGTTGGCTGCGTCTGAAGAGAGAATTATTAAAAAGAAAACAATTTACACACATACAAATTTACATATATAAAATTAAAGTTTAATGCATAGATACGAATTTTGCAGATTTATTTGATTCCAACAAGTATTAATTAGAAGAGCATTTTAATTTAATTGCTTTTATTCAGAAAATTATTTTATTCGGGGAAAAAACATCAATTAATAAAAAAAATAATGTATATATATATAAAAAACATCC